TGTGAAAAGTTAAACTGCAATTATATTGAAGTAGTTCAAATAATCCAATTGTCCGAATTTTAAAGTAGCTTTAAATTAGTTTATTTAGTGCATAAAAATCAAAGTAAAACAAAATGGAAAAGGTAAGGGTGAGAATCGAATTGAAAGCTTAGAAAGCATAAGTAAAACAAAATGGAAAAGGCTAGGGTGAGATGCTGAGAATTGAATTAAGAGCTTAGAAATGCAGAAGTCAAATAAATTTAAAAAAGTTGAACATAGGATTCGAACGCTGCAACAAGTGGAAATCCTCCTGAAACACGCAGAAACAACTCCACTCTACCACGGCTGACAGTTATTACCTATGTCGTTTATACTATATATAAGATACATAATTTTAATACTTATCTACATAAATAATTTAATATTTAATATATATATATAGGGGTTGGGTGGGGTTGAGTGGGGGCAGCTGCCCCCCTTCCCCCACGCTGGATCAGCCCCTGAATCTTGAGGAGTCTGAGTAGCTAATTCCCGAGCTTCATTAACCTTCCCTTGTCTTGCCGAAGTTCTGTTTTTCTCTCCCGCTATCCCCTAAGAAGAAGAAGAAGGTCACCAGTCTTTCAGAAACTCGTAAGCATTTGGAAACTTTAGAAACTTCAAATTTCCATTTTGGGCCGTTTCAGTAATTAAGAAGAATTGGGGAAGTCGTTTCTCTAAATAGTTAGCATTTCGGAAATCCTCGATTTCCCATTTTTCTCTTTCTTAAGTGATTTTGTAATGGAAAAAACACTTTTTAAAAAAAAAAATAGTGAATTTTTGTGGTATTTCTCCGTAACAACAATGTGAGTCAGTGACATTTTGTAACGCAATGAATTATTGCTAGAAATATATTGCATTTAATTTCTAACTATTTACTAAGATGATGTGATTTCAAAATCTTAACATGTTGAATGCTTTTTATTATTGGTCATTAAACAAATTACATGGAAAAATTATGTACATATAAAAAAAGTATTTATAGACATATCCTTATATCTTTTACGTTTCCCCCACGTTTCATATCATATATTTTCTAGAAATTTAGTTTCTCGCGTTTCCGTGCTACTTAGCTCATATAAATATATTATTTTGGAATCACCAATATATGAGATTATTAATATTAGAAGATCGCTAATAATTGGGATTATTCATCTATTTTTTTTTATAAAATATTGTTCTTTTCCTAAACAATTGCCTATTCGTTAAAATAGTACATATAATTTGATTTTCATTGTTTTAAGATTAAAAATGAGTTATCTGATTTTTAATAGAATGTTGTGGTCATAATATTGAACAATGTGTGATGAAGAATATTTCTATAGACCCATTTAGGAATTATTTTCCTATAATATAGGGGATTGTTAAATTTCAACATAATTAGTCAATGCAGCTAATTTGACAAAACGTTTGTATTACCAAACAAACTCTACGAAAACAGTAAAGTTTAATTGTTTTACTTAATACGGTGGGTGCCACATATAGAAAAGCCCAGCCCAGCCCAGCCCAGGTATTACGTTGATGTCCATAATACCGAAGCAAAACCCTACTCGTGCTGTTTTATTTGCGCAAGCCCTATTCGTGCTTTATCTGCCCCTCTCTTTCTTCTTCAACCTTCACGGCAGAACTCTCTCAAGCACCGCCACAATGGGTCGCGTACGCACCAAGACCGTGAAGAAATCCTCCCGCCAAGTGATCGAGCGCTACTACTCGCGCTTGACCCTCGACTTCCACACCAACAAGAAGGTTCTGCAGGAGGTCGCCGTCATCCCGACGAAGCGTCTCAGGAACAAGATCGCCGGATTCTCTACCCATCTCATGAAGCGGATCCAGAAGGGACCTGTCAGGGGCATCTCGCTGAAGCTCCAGGAGGAGGAGAGGGAGCGCCGCATGGACTTCGTCCCCGAGGAGTCCGCCATCAACACCGAACGCATTGAGGTCGACAAGGAGACAATTGAATTGCTTACTTCGCTGGGCATGGCTGAGCTCCCAGGAGTCGTAGTCAAGGAAGAGGAATCCGGCGCGATGGCCGTACCTGGATTCGCCGGCGGGCGTGGTGGATTCGCCGGTGGTCGTGGTGGATTCGGCGGCGGCGGCCGGTACTGAAAGGCTTATGTTCTTCTTTTTTCCTAAATATATCAATCAGTTCAGTTTAGGCAACGCTTCTCCAATGTTTTGAGTTCTGGTACTGCTGGAAAGATGAATACTTTCTTATGTTTTGAATGTTTGTTTTTTTTAAAACTTCTTCCTGGTTTATCATTATCGCATAATTTGAGATCTTATCATTTTCCTATAGTTCTTGCATGTCTCTTGCTCAACCAAAAGTGGGTTTTATTGATTTAGATTGCGCAATTTTTTTAGTTTGCCGAATGATGTTGTCGAAACCAAATATTCTTGTTGAAGGATGTAGCTGTGGACAACTTTGGAACAAGAAACTTTCAGTTAGATAAGCAAAAGATTAGGCCCATATGATCCATATTTCTGAATAAGGAAAAGAAGTCTTTTTTGAGATTGCTATATAGATATTTCTATGTTTTTGTTAATGGAAAAAGGTTTTCGTTCTTGTAAGAGGTAATTCTAAAGTCAATAATTTTTGCAGACTTATCAAGCACATAAAATAATTATTGCTTAGAAAATTGGAAGAAGTCTATTAGCTTTCTCTTAAATTTATTTTGGAATACCAGCAATATCAACTCCAATGGTTTTGAAGGCATTTTTTCCTGTTTGACATCTGTTATGCTGTAGTGACAAAAATGAGACTCTTAAGTTTCTCCTAGGCCTGCCCTACTCCCCCTTCCCATCCATGAATTACAACTGCTCATACTAATGGGGCACATATATCATTTCAATTTTCAATGGTGAGAAATAATACAGAACAAAATAATCACTCTGGTACAATCCTCAAATAAACATGATGTATTGTACTCACTTAATTTTGCAATGCAGTTATCGTTTCAATAATGTGGCATGGATCTAAGATTGAACCTGATTGAATTACGTATAAAGCCAACCCAAGTATAATTAAAACTCTTTTTTTTGTGTGTTCTGTTTTTTCCTTTTGTTTTTGTTTCAGTATGGTCAATGCAAAGACTTCTGCATGATAGTTAATGTATTATGTTAATGTAATTGTTTAATAAACATCTTGTGTACTGTTACGAGTTGTCAATCACTCGCTATTAACCATTTTTGATAAGCTAGGGTTTAGCACCCTAGCTTAAAGGTATTCCGAATATCATAAGCTAGGATTTCGCTTAAAGGTATTCGGAATTTTTATTACTGTTATGCTTAAAGCTACACACTATGGAAGATTTTTTTTCTAGATCCAGTGTGTTCTATTATTTTCGAGATGGGCTCATTTTCGTTTAACTATGATGTTTGATCTTTTGCTACCATTTTAAGGGTATAACCAAAGGAATTTGAAACCACATTGTTGTGTACTGAGTTCATTGTGGCTTTTATGAGAGTGAGGTGTGTTTCACTATTTCATTGTCTTTTTAGTTCATCCTTGATTGTTCACTTGTTCAGCTTATGTATTATGCACCTGCTTATGGGGTTTCTTTCCCAGTGTCATGCTTGAAACAATCATGTTAAGTTGCTTTTTCGGACGAAAACACATTTTTCGTTATTGTTGATCTTTTGCAACTGCGCTCCGCTGATTTGACAATGTTAAACTGCTGTTTTTTTGCTCTTGTTAGTCGATACTTTTGCTCATTTTTGCAGTGCGTTTTCCGCCATTGGGCATTGACCCTCGCGCAACGCGCGTGTCAATGCTAGTTCACAATATATATACCATAGATAATGTACTCTCCACAATCTAATTTATTCCAGTTAGGCACAATTAACGTTTGATGCAGTGATTCTATGCTGATTTTATTTGATTTCACTCCATGGCAAACTAAATTAGTAAATTTACAGAAATTGAAATGAAGATATTTTGTCATTCTTTCCTACTTATTGAAGACAAAAGGACAGTAAATGAGTCAATTTGGTAAATGTTCTACAGGGGCTTGAATCATATAGGTCCGTTTAGTTTGATTAATTAGGTGAAATTGCTGTATTTGTCTTCCTCTAAGATTTTGGGAAATGTGTTTGAAGAACCTGCATTTTCTTAAAATAGCTGTGAAAAGTTCACATTCTTCTATAAGTAGATTCAGTTTAAACTGAAAGAAGCTTCAAAGCAGCACCTATGGTACTAGGATATACTAGTACAACACAAGAGCTAATGTTACATTGTTAAGAACTGGAACTGGTTGGTTTAGTCCTATTCTGGATGAACCCTGCTGGTTAGAAATTTAGTACTATTCCCAACTCTTTCTGGACTAGGAATTCAGTTAAGATAAGTAAAATAACCAGACTATCCTCATTTGCATTAACTTTTGAACTGGTGTGGGTGCCTACCCCTATCCACCCCACCAATAAGTTAGAACTGAGTTCTTAAGTGTGCATTGTGATTTTCCCCTGGAAGCTCGATTAGAGCACAAGATAGGGGTGATCCGGCGATACTGCGATAGGCATATCAGCATATGTGTGTCATGCTCCCATTCAATCAAATCTAAATATGAGTTGTTAAATTCCATGTATTTGTTCAATTGGTGTGGTTTTTCGCTTTACCTGTGAAAATTATAAACACATCTATAACTAAACTGACTTCTTTTTTTGCACGTTCTTGACACGATACACGTTTGTAATAAACATTGCATGCTCATTTCAGTCATTTGTACTGATCATGGTACTTCTGTACTTTGAAGGAAAACCGGGCTTCAGAATAGTCTGGATAGCTTGATTTATAGTTTAAAAAAACCCTAAAAAGTGTGCACTGCACCAACTGTAACCTTCTGTTTTTTGCTGTCATTTTTTTAAAAACAGCCAACATCAGGTCAACAAGGTGAATTTTTAGTTTCTAAGCTTAATTTTCAGTTTTCTAATATGAACATTGGCTCATAGTACAACCTACATCATAAAACAATTTTTTTAAAATCTTGTAACTCAGAACTAGTGATACGCGAAGAGTAGCTATTTTTGTATGATTCTATTGACTTAGTGACAGCATTTAGATATTCAACACCAAGTCACCAACATACACGTTTGTTATAAGTTACATTAATGCCAGGAATTAGGGCAGATCAATCGCTTGAATTTGCAAGGCCAACCATATTAAGCATATTTTTGTCCTCTTTGAATCTCTCAAGAACGGAACCTTTGATGCGATCATGATGTGCTTCTTCTTGAGCTTTCTTGATTTGGACTTCCCAGCATTCAATCGTTTCTGGATATATGATGTTGCATCCCGACAAGCTAGGGCTTCCAAACGTGGTGCAGGGGAAAGTATGGCCTTGATCAAAATTGGCTGATATGAACAAACCAAAATGATTCACTCTACCACCAAACCCTATTCCATTGGGAATGCTTTCTGAACTAAAATTCACAGCACACTGCCAAACAGAAGTTTCTATAATCAGATCAAATTGCCTTTTGAGCGTTATTTCTACCAACCTAAGCTACGAACAGGAAAACAAAAGAATGAAGAGCTTTATGGGGAATGTCCAGCTTAGCTCACCCACTGTATATTGTAGTTTGCTCCTGTGGGGCGATAAATTGATGCTTTTGGGTAAAGCTGGAAGATGAATGACTTCATATCTCCATAAAATTCACCATGTCTCTCCCATGGTTGAGAAGCATAACCCCCATATGTATTGCCATTCTTGTCTTTTATGATTAATACGGCAGGACATTTGTCATTTCTGCAATTCACTATAAAAGTCAATTAGAAACTGAAAGCCTCTTTGGTAACGTTGATGAAATCCTAGTTGAATTGGCTGAATCTATTGAATTGTGAAAAAAATATTTAAAAAATATTTATAAATTATATGAAAAGGTATGTGTTTGGTATAGAAGCTGGCTGATCAGTTGAAAACAAAAGTTACCAAATGGGTTCTTAAAGAGGCAGTTCTTGAACAAAATGGTTCCAAGAATAAAAAACATTGTTGTCCTGTGTTCCTTTAAAATGTGAGAAATATAGAGAAACGTGAAAAACAAGTGTTTTGAGAATTTCAGTTCACGTAGCGTTTATGAAGATAAATACACTCTTCAAAAGTTTATGTGCTTCACAATGGCCGTCTAATAGGGCATGTAAGAAATGCTATAGTACTAAACCTCTTGATCCTAAAAGACCTCAAATTTTGAAATTGTAGTCCATATATTATGCAAACACTTCTTTTTAAATGATCCCATTTTAGACTTCCATTTTGAAATATGTGAACACTGATATGTGCACAAATTTTACTACATAAGGGCTAAATTTTATGATTAGCATGGGGCCTCCTAGAAGTTAAAGACGACCTTGATCACAAAGTAGTCTCATTTGGCCAAGTAAATGCACAACCAAGGAGAGTCAGAGAGAATATGCATTATTGGAGGAAATGAAAAAATACAAGAGACTTACGCCATATTTCCCAAGAAGGTGTTGAAGCTCAAGCCATGGACTGCACTGTGATAAAGAAGCTTCCATTCACGGAGCTCCTCTTGTGGGAGGGCACCTCCAATTAACCATGCGTATTCCTTCCTTAACAGTATCATATCAGAACGAATATTGTCCTGGTGAACTAATCTAGGAACGTCAGAACCTACACAAGAAAGATAACAGATTCAACTCAAAATAAAAAAATACTCAACAAAATAATAAATGATCAATTTCTTTAATATTATTTATATTAACTAACTACTCATTAAACAAAAATGTGAATTTCTGGATGAAAACGTTACCAGCACAGTCAATTGACAATAACAGATTATCAACGCAGTGACTGTTGCTAATTGCATTGGTAACATCTTTGTCATAAAATTAAATTTAAACAGTTTTGTCCGGCAAAGTATATACGAAGTGCAAAAATTGGACAGGGAGGGCCTGGAAAATTGAGCACCCAATGTTGAAAATACACACGGTACCGCATAGGCATATACCAATACAAAAATAAAAAGAAAATCAGATTGCACAGAAAAGTTACCAACTTTACACACAAAAATCACAATGCCAACAAGCACCTATCCAGACTAAAGATCTTTCTAGTATATCTGACCTAGATCATACATCATGATAAAACCGAGCGTAGAAGAATGTCAATATTTTGGATGGCTAAAATTAATAAATCAAGCACCTGAGTCAGATGGCTTCAGCAAACTTCCTAGGAACTTCCTGACAGATGGGAGCAGTTCACACCACTTCCTAAAATCCCCATAAGACATACACCTTGCAGCTGGATTTTGAGTATCTATTGTGAAATTTGCAGCACTGAGTAATATGTCAATAATGTCTGAATTTGAACCTGGTCCTCCTTCAGAGCATTTATGAGAAAATATATCATCAAGCATTGCATTTAATACAGCTTCAAGATCGGACCTGCAAATCATCCCCGGGGTAAAATAATCAGTTACAAGGCATTCCTCTATTACTTTCACTTCACAAGTTATGCAACTGCATCTGTCTGACTAATATCAGCATAGTATAGCAAGTATATTCAATATGGAAATAGTAAATATATACCCCCCTGTGATATTCCCAAATTCACACCTAGAAAATATATCTTAGATAGTTTTGAGCAAGGAGGTGTAGAAGTTGTATAATGAATAAACAACTATATTGATATAGTGGATGATAATTAGATTACATATGTGGTTTATGTCAGAGAGAAAAGTCTATCCAATAGGAAAGTGAACCGCAATGTAATTAGGAGAAAGAATAACAATTTGATCAGGAAAAGTGAAATTTCAAAATACACAATATTTCTAATAATAATATTTCTTAATAAAAGGATCCATTTCCAATTCTAAATTTCTAATCGAAGAGAAGTAGGAAGATATTAAGACTTCTACCTTTCAACAGTTCCGTCACCAGATACGTCTAACAGTTGATAGACAAACTCTTCCATCTCATCTTTTGTTCCCTTTTCATAAGTTGCCTGCCATAAAACCAGAAAGTGTGGAAAGATTTGACTTCACTCCAATCAGTACTTATGATAGCTAATTAGCTATGAACTAAACTACAGACTCAGTTGAATGGTCTGTGCCCAAAATTAGTAACTGAACAGCAGCACAGTAGTTTATTTCATGGAATTCGAAATCAGAGCTTGAGCTAAAATGGAAATCTGACCGGTAACTGAATTAAAATGGAAATTCAATGAGATTATTACTTCATTACCAGGTAAATTCCTCTAAAATGTGATTTCAGGCTAAATGTGAATGCTGGGGATTCCCATCCAGTAAAGAATATCTACCACTTTTTCCCTTCCAAAAGCTTTACTTCTAGTTTTGAAAAGTTACATTCCTAACCCCACTGAAGAGTGCCGACGATACCCCCTTTTTGTTTTAGTTTTTGCTGCAGTGAGTTAAAAGTTGTACACAAAACATTCATGGCACGCACTTTGGCGCCTTGCATTGTTTGAGGTGTGGTGAGATTGTTGAGGTGGCCAGCTTCTCATCTCACTTTTTTATTGAAGTTTGATACCTCCCGTGAGGTGAGTTTTCTTTTATTTATATAAATAAATAAAATGTTGTTGAGTAGGAGTATGAAAGAGAAAATAAAAGTAGATAAAGCAAGAGTAGTTGAGTATTTTATAAAGGGTAAACTTACCAAAAATGGAATTGTAGGGAACTTTTAAATACAGTCTAAAAAGGAAAGTGTAGGGAACTGTTAAATACGGAGGGAGTATCATTTATTTTTAAGATGTACTCTTAAGTACTTTACAAAATGCTTTTCAAAATTGTTTTATTATTTTTAAAACATCTAACTATACTGTCACAATTAGTGAATCACATGATTATCAAACTTATAGTTGTGTTTTCACCCTCACAGGTCTAGTTAATTTTTTTTTCCATATTTGACTTTTCAATGCAGCCCTCCAAACTCAGGTTAAAACAAAGAGCCCTAAATTTGAGACCTTTCAAGTTTTGACTATGTCTGAGGTCTCTAGCTACCAAGCCAGCCTCTCAAGAGGTCAATACTATTTCCTCATAACATAGCCAGGAATTTGGTATGTAAACATCAGAGTAATGAATCTAAATCATGGTTGTATGAAAAATATAGCAATAACAAATGAAAAAGTAGCTAACACTTACTTTAGCAATAACAAGATCTTCAAAGGTAAGCTTTTGATCTTTGCGGTTCTGAGTGACCAAGTCGAATAATCTATCCCCCAACTTCCCTTCAATCCCAATGTGCACCTATGTATACAACAAAGTCATTCATAAATTCTTCTTCATTGAGGACATTTATCAAGCCTTTCAAACATTGAAATGAAAAAAAAGATATAGAGAGGGGGGAGAGACCTTGAAAACAGAAGGGGAGATGTATTGCGCATTTGATTCTGATTTCTCGGAGAGGGAAAGGAACAAAAAGTTCAGGTCTTCAAGTTCCTTCTCGGTGAACGCTCTGTGTATCATAAACGCGTAAAATATGTATGGAATAGATACAGCGAATCAATGTAATAGATGGAGATGGAGAAAGGTAAACCTTTTAGCGGAAGCGAAACGGGGATCGGTAGAATACGACTGCGAATTACCCATCTCTCAGGCGACTGAGAAGTTTTCTTTGCTTGTTCAGGTCAGGACTGGAATAAAATTACGAAACGCTATAAATATGAACATCAGTAAATGCCAAGTACCATGATGGTATCACAGTTATCTCCTAAAGAAGACGTCACTATTCCGGGTCCCGTCCAAGGACGTCGGTTAAGCAGATATTCTAATAAGTTTAGAAGAATATACAAAAAAAATGAACATTAGTAAATACGAAGTATAAACGTAGTATATAAATGAAATATAAACGAAGTATATACGTACTAAATATGAAGTAGTATATACGTAGTATACGAAGCATACTAGCCCAGCTAGTGGTGGGGTTACAAGTGCATTTTTCGGGACATTTTATTTACTACGTATTTTTTTCAAATTTATGAGTGTCTTCCAAAATATTTTCATTGTTCCAAAAGGTTGAATCTCCAACCCCAAGGGCCCCCCCACGCCCCAACCCGACAGAGCACATGGGAGGATGTAAGTCACGGTGACTCAGTCAGCAAAGTCGCAGTAGACCCATACACCCGTGCACACCAGAGGCCCGACCTTATTTCAAGCCCATACAACCTTATTTCATGGTCACATTAGGCGTCGTGTGTGTTTAAGAGACATAAATATATGTCTTCTAGCTTTTGTATTATTTTAAAAGTCTCATAAAGTTTCTAGTTGTATACTTGTATGTTTGGCAGGACAATTTTTAAGAGTTTTTCAAAAAATAAAGGGAAAATGGAAACTAATAATCCAACCTTTTAGCGGTCTTCTTACAATAGTCCCACCTTTTGATTATTCATGAATAATCCAACCTTTGCGCCTCATCTTCATTCACTGGTCCCTGACCGGTTCATGACCTGTTGTTCCAAGTTATTTTCTTATCTTTGCAAAATATTATCTTTGTGAAAGGTGAGATTTATGGTATAATGGTTTGCAAAGATAAGAAAATAACTTGGAATAACAGGTCATGAACCGGTCAGGGACCAGTGAATGAAGATGAGGTGCAAAGGTTGGATTATTCATGTATAATCAAAAGGTGGGACTATTGTAAGAAGATCGCTAAAAGGTTGGATTATTAGTTTCTATTTTCCCAAAAATAGAACATCTTTTTTAGATGCTACAGGGAGTCGAATCTGAAAAAAGTCTGTAACATTTAGCATTAATTAGTTCTAACAACTTGTTTACCAAACAAAACTAAATCAAATAGTCAGTTTTTTACCAAATAGTTATCACATTTTCTTTTTAATATCTTTTCAGTCACTAAAAGCTAACAATTACTAAAAAACTTGTAAAAGTATCTTTTCAGCTAATTGTGCCAAGCATGCCCTATGACTATTATCCAACTCAACTTTTTTTTGAGCTATTCGAGTTCGAGTTCGGTTTCAAATATAATGAATCGAGCATAATAGGGGTTCAAACTCAAACACGATTTGAATTTTGGATTCGAATACTTAATTTAAACCGAACTCGAGCATAGTAGTGTTTGGTTCGGTTCGAGCCTATCGAACATTTTAAAATTATAGGAATAAGTTATAGGAATAAATTATATACTACGTATATCTTACCATTTAATCATATTTAGTGCAATTTTATAAATTTAATTATGACGGTTAAAGATCCGCACACTTGTCTAATAGTTCGAGCACGAATTTATTAACAAGCATAGCCTAAATTTTTTACGTTGAAACATGTTTATTGAGCTCACTTATTGAACACTTGAATCGAATCAAACTTGAGCTCCATTAGTACAGTAGTTGAGCTTCGAGTTCGAGCCTGAACACTAGTATTACCTTAACCAACGGAGCTCGAGCTCTGCATGTTTGGGCTCGGCTCGTTAATAGCCCTAGATCACACCAGACTCATTCTTAAATACTTGCAACATTTTAAATTTTATATTATTCACATGTTCTACTTGAGTAAGAATTATTTAAAACTCATTATGTCCCATTTTGTGAAATACGTTTTCTTTTTATAGTTGTCTAAAAATTAATATGGACACTTTTCTAAATTAAAATCCGCTGATTATTTATTTTCCCACTTGACCTATCTTTTTATTTTTTTACTTTTTATGGATGTCATCTCAATCTTTCTTGCTTTTTGGAGGTTAAAATTGTGAAAAAGTCACTTTTATCTTTTATTTTCTAAAACCCGCACCAAAACACTACAAAAAAAAGGTTTCTGACGTCGGTTTTCTAGCATCGACATTAAAATCTTCCCTAGAAGCGGTTTACATGCACAAGCATTGGCAATCACTTTTTCATTTAGCATCGGCTATAAGGGACGTAATGTTCTGATAAAAAAACTAAGGGATAAGGGTCAGATAGGGCCTCGAACTCGAAAAAAATGTCAAATAAGGTCATATTTCGGATGCTCTGTCTGGCCGACGCCATTTGGGGCGGTTCCCGATGGAATTTTTTGATGAAATTTTTTGAGCATCTTCCTCATTAAGTCTAGTTTACCCATACCAAATTTCAGCTAAAAATTCAACCGGGAAGGTAGTCAAATAATTTTCCGAAATGTACGGCGTTGTTTAACTTCACAGTTATCTTCAAAAATTCATTTGACTACCTTCCCGGTTGAGTTTTTAGCTGAAATTTGGTATGGGTAAACTAGACTTAATGAGGAAGATGCTCAAAAAATTTCATCAAAAAATTCCATCGGGAACCGCCCCAAATGGCGTCGGCCAGACAGAGCATCCGAAATATGACCTTATTTGACATTTTTTTTCAAGTTCGAGGCCCTATCTGACCCTTATCCCAAAAACTAAACTTTAGCGTAGACTTTATAATTTCAAGGTAAACTTAACCCTACGTATCTTCTTATCTTTTCTATCGCCAACATCAGAACTCCTCTCTCTAACTCCTCTCTCTTCTAGGTGACAATTACTCTGCATCGCTGGTTTTATTAAAACTCAATTGTCAGTTAAGTCTTTGAGGAAACCCTACTTGATAGGTGATAAGTTTGTATTTCAACACGCATTTGATGCGTGTTGAGATTGAGTTTTGTCACTTTTCTTAATTTATTTGCGTCACAAAGTTTTTATTTAGCTCAAGTCACGGTTTACCGCGTTTAGTTTGCATTCGTTGAAGAATAAGAATAATTCGGACCCGGCGTCGGCGTTTGAGCCAAAGTTGAGAAGATTCGGAATATGTTCGAGAGCTAGTGAGAGGCATCGGAGGTCCCGGGATGATTTAGAGGCATGATTTGAGGCTAGGAAGATTAAAGATTAAAGATTAAAGATAGGATTGATCAGGAGCGAACGAGGAAGAAAATAGCAAGAAAACGGTTCTAGAGCAATCCGCGCGCCCTGTGGGTCGGTACCCGCATGCCCCGCGAGTGTATCTTGGGAGCTAGAACTCAAAAAGTCTGAACCGCACACCGTACGGTTGAAACCAAACGTCGTGCGGGCAACCGTGCGATCGTTGAATAGTGGTGAAAGTACGAGTATCGTCTCCAGAAGGACGGAATATAGTGATATAGTGGTGTAAGTACAAGTGAAATAGTAGGGATCCAAGAGAAAAGGCAAATATCACACCTATCAGTTTCGTAGTAGCATCTGGAGTATTGGGGTGAAAAACTCACAATATTTAGGGAGTCTCATTATCAGTTATGTCATTCATTTCAGATTTGGAATTGAAGAAAATAAGAAAGTGTGTCCGCGGATAGTTTGTCAACTTTTTCTAAATTTCTTGTCAGTATCTAAAAGACTGCAAGAAATTTATATGGAAGCGAAGGATGGGCTGAAACCTATGTTGCACGGATACGGATACGCCGATACGCGAATACGGGTACGGCGATACGGCAATTTCAAAAATTATAGGATACGGGTACGGGAGTATACTTATAAATAATAAAAATATAGGGTATAATTTGCAAACATATATAATTCAGGGGTTCATAAATAAAATAATAATAGTACAAAAAAATAATTATAATAATAAAATTTCAAAGATTAGGCTAAAAAAACTAAAGTACTACGGAGTAATATTTTGATTTGAATTCAAATAACATTTTTTTGTTCTCTATTTTCATTTACATCTAAGTCATGTTTCAGTTAATGCTCATCAAGCGATAAAATGACAAATTATAGTATATTCAATTGTTTTCCATACTTACGAACCATCTTTATCAGTGTTCCACATCTTGTTGTCGATTGGGCGGCTACTAAATTTTTGTTATGTCATGTACCAAATGAGGGGTTATAGGGTCAAATACGCGTATCGGTTCACGGATACGGGTATCGGTTCATGGATACGGGTATCGGAAGTATCGGTGTTTTTAAAATTAATCCCGATACTTTTATTAAATTACAGATACGGACCCAATACGTACAGGACGCGTAACGGCGAGTATCGGAAACGGATACGTATCGGATGCGCGGATACGACATCGGGGTGAAGTATCGGTGCAACATAGGCTGAAACTACATGGAAACCAAAGGAAAATAACCTCTTACTCCAATTAGAAAAGATCTAGATTGTGAAGCAACACATTCTTGAAGAAAATCTCTCTCAAGTCGCCCAAAGACAAAAATGACGGGAAAACATAGGAGTTTTGATAGAATACAAATGTTAAAGCAAAGTGTACCACTCAACATAGCTGAATGATATCACCAACATTTTCTTCATCCCTTAAATGTCCTAACCTTTATTGGGTATTATATAAATATATAATATAATATAATATATATATATTTTAGACTTTATAATTTAATACTAATATTCTTTTCATTTAAATTATACACTCGTTAAGTATAAATTAAATTAAAATACACGATTGTACTGCGCGCATGGTATAAAGGGTTGTACACTTGTACCTATAATTTACGAAGCAAACATGAAGTGGTAGCATGAAGGGTCCAATTCGGGAATCGGCACAGTACGTTAATTTTTGAAAAATTAAAAAATGTTTATTTTTGTCCACAAAATCACACAAATAATATTAGTCATCATTTGTACTTACAATCCACTACCCATGCTCACCAAAGTTGTGAAATTTTACTGACCGGGTGCAACTGGTCTATCACTAACTAATGAGTGCATGGCCTATTAGGTCAAATGCGTTATTAAGATTTAAGATGCAATTAAGCAGGCATGAATGGATGGCAATTTGATTTGGTACTTTTCAGAACATGGGCTTTAGAATGGAAGTAATTTATGTTGTTCATTCATTCATTTAGTATTTACAC